CAAACAAAAATGTACAACCCAAAATTTCACAATGTTAAAAACTATTAAAACATCAATAAAAAAAAAAAAGTTCCTTGGGGCCAGCCTGTGGCCTAGTGGTTAAGTTCAGGGCACTTGGCTTTGGCAACCTGGGTTCAATTCCTGGGCATGGACCTACACTGCTTGGCAGCAGCCATGCTGTGGCAGCGACCCACATACAAAATAGAGGAAGACTGGCACAGATGTTAGTTCAGGGCAAATCTTCCTCAGCCAAAAAAAGGAGCTCCTCAAAAAAGTATATTGTCACTGCTCTTTTCAGAGGAGCTTTCATAATTAGAGTAATTTGTGCCAGAATTAGACAGTTTAGGAGGGAAAGTCTCAACAGAAATCTAATTGCAAGAGATAAATATAATAATTGGTATGAAAACAGGCTCTCAGAATCTGTTTAGAAGTCTGAAGCCAAAATGAAAAAGCAATGCATTTTAAAAGGGTTGTAAGGGGTGGGAGGGGTGGGGGCAGAGGAAATAATTTCTTAGAATGGCTATAATTAAAGCTGGAAAACTCACTGTTTTTTGGGTAACCTGCTAAAACAGAACATGCGTGAGACTAAAAAGAAAAGACAGTATCTGCAGAAAATACTTGGCTAAGGTAAAAAGTACAAGGTTTTTCTACCTTCATGAGATGAAGGCCACAGGGTCTACAGAATTACGAAGGTGGTGTTGGTGATGCCCACTGGCTCAAATCCAAGCTCTGTGGAGGCCGTGACTCTCGTCCACAAAGACCCCCACACAGGCACAGCGTAAGGGCCTGAACTCCCGACAACATGGAGTATATCTCAGCTTTCTGCAGCTCTCCTTTATGGCTCTGCCATTCACACATCTGTCCAAACCCTTCTGGAATCCATTTCTGTTGCCAGCTTGTGCCACCTCTGGGAGATAATCCATTCCATAAATTCCTTACCTGCCGCGTGGTGTAGTATTTCCAGTGACTTGTTCTGAACTTGCCTCCTTCGTGGTTCCAAGGTTCTGCTGTCTTTTAGGATCTGATGAACAAGTCTGTGCTCATCTTATCCACACCATTTATAGGCTGATCATTTCCTCCTCACAGCCTGTGCCTTGTCAGCAGCCCTACTGACTTCTTGTTGGTTTCTCAGAGCACCCAGGCTGCCTACAAGGGACTTTCTGTGGCCCCGTTTATGCTTCTAGACTCTCACCCAGGTGTTGCAGGCAAGAATGAACCATAGCTTTAGGTGAGAGTAAGATAATGTTCTCAATTTAACATTTCCCATACATGAAGAATATGCCCATTTTGGGGAAGCACTGTCCTGGGTGTAAACAGGCTGTATTTGAACTTCTTCTAGACTCAGGGAGTTTGCAAGCTGATGGGAAAGTGTCTGCAGGCAGCACAAGGATTGATGCTGGCCAGTAGTGCAAGTCAACCTGTCTGAAACAGGGCACTGCCCAGAGGGAAAACCCAGGGTAGTCAGGCCTCGCCTTCATAGCAGGCCACGGTTCTGTAATAAATACCCCATCGATTCTCACAGCACTCTGAGAGGGAAGCAACCTCTTTTGTGCCCAGCATACTGATGTGAAACCAGAGCTCAGCAGCAGCTAAAGTTAGGAAGGGGTAGTCACTCATATTTCCAGTCTCAGTTCCCAAATCTGCTTTTTTTTTTTTAATTAGATGTTAATACTCCGTTTCACTCCTTTTAGAGCCCATTAATCTCTTGACCACCTTCAAATGTCTTTACTGAAAACATGAAAAATAATGAGGATTAAGCAAAATGTAACAGCACTGTGGTTGCCTGGGGCCATTCATGAGTTCATCAGAGTTGGGATTTCATGCCAAGAAAATAAAATGGTAGGTGGTGCTCCAACCTGCTTTTTCGTAAGAGATGCATCATCCACCCAGAGTGAGAACATCCTGGCTGGATGCCCTCTCCTTTACTTCTGCCATCTTCCTAGTAGTATCAGTCCCTCAGTAGACTTTGCAGCCTTGGCAATCCAGTGTGAGCAAATCTGCCATCTTGCTCACCTATGAGTCACTGATGTCTCTGCCACAGAAGCTGTTGGCTTTCGTCAGTTACCAACTTAGACATCATAGAGATAGCACCTTACGGGTAGGCCTCTGATTTTCTTTCTACTGTTGATAGCCGTGTCCATGAAGCCCTGATCTCAAGTCAATTGCCTCAGTTTCTCTCATTTAGTTTCTTCCTGTTTTCTCTTAAAAGCAAACCTAAATAATTGTCACTTAGCCACAGCCAATCTGTAATGTTGCTCTCAATTTCCACGAAAGTATTTTCTGTAGCCTTCCCTCAATAGGCCTCATTCCAGGCCTGAACAGTACCCCTGTTCAAGCGTGCAATTCCTCCACAGAAGGCAATTTCTTTCTCTACTTGATGATATAGTGCTAAAAGGATGGACTGGGGAGTTGGAAACACTTGGACTCAAATCTGGGCTCCAGCATTTATTAGTTATGTGACTTTGAGGAAGTTACTTAACTTCTCTGAACCTCAGTTTCTTCATCTGTAAAACAAGGCTAATACTACATCTCATAAACGTGAAAGACTGAATGATATGTTATGTGTAAAGCTCCTGACACAGTGTCTAGTATCCTTCCTTGACATGGAAGCAAATATTCCAAATATCCCAAATCCTTAGGCCAGCATTCAAGGCCTCACTGCCAGCCCCTCACGCCTGTGTTCCTCAATGCTCTCTTAGACTCTATACTCCGGCTTTAAGCTCCAGGAGTGTTAGAGGAACCAACTCTACATAGGTGAACAATCATAGGTTCAAAGTGTGATTACAGATTGAGCTTTTCCCAGCTTGGTAACACATTCTGGACACTTCCAAGCAGTCTTTCAAGCCCAATCTTCCAATCTCTATTGCCCCTACCCAACTACTTGTTAGCCCACCTGCTTCTGGGACACACCTTCCCCCTTTTTCTTGTTCAAATCCAGACTGAGTTCACTCCACCTGGATTTCTGGGAAGAGGGTCTCATCTAATCTCCTTCCTTTGGAAGAAAACTGGTTTTTTTCTCTTTCCTAAATCATCTTTGGCATTTCTGACTGGAGGTCTGGGTGTTCTCTTTGGCCTTTCAGCTCAGATCCATTTGGTTTCTCCCGCACTAACAGAAAGGGATCTCTCGTGCCTCAGTGAAAACAGTTGGCTACACCAGTCATTTTAATGTCCATACGCAGAAGCCAAAGGACACCAGCACTCAAACACGGTAGGGGGAGGGCAGGACCTGGCTCAGCACCTGGCACCTGGTTCCTGGGTACCTGGGCACCTGGGTACCTGGTAAATACAATCAAGAGGGCAGCATCTCAGGTCCATGTCACGGAAGGACTTCCCAAGACGACTCTGAGGCGGCCCCTCCAGGGCCAGGTCCCTGCATCGCCCCCCTCCCACCCACAGAAACCTTGGAGACATTGAACGAGCTCCCTGCCCTGGGGCATCAGAAGCTCTGTGTCTGGAGTCCTGCAGCCAACTTTGGCGCAGGCCTTTCATTTTCTAGCGTTCCAGGGTCTGGAGACCCCACCCATGGAGATCTGAATAACAAGTGGACTGAGGGCAACTGAGGCTGAGAGGGGAAGAACCTCTGAGAAGTTTTTGAAGGCAGTCTCCCCCTCCGTCTCTGCTTCTGACGGCTCCCGATGGGGCATACTTTTCCTCAACGCCTTCAGTGAGTAGCACAAAGGCTTTTCGGAGGTGTTGCTAGAGGAGCCGGTCGTTTTTGTCGTCCAGATAAGGCGTTGGAGCCTTCACCCGGTCTGCCCTATGGCCTCCCTCTCCAACGCCTCCCACCCCCTCTCCAAGAAGGCTGCTCCATGAGGCAGCACTGGGCTGTTTTCACTTAAGCCGAATTTCCCCCGAAGTATGTCTCAAGTCCCTGGGAACTTTTCTGCGTTTGTGAAACGGCTGGGGACCGGCTCCGCAGGCGAGCAGCGCGGCTGTCCTGCAGGAGGCGTGTCCCGGGACGGAGGGGCACCAACACGTAACGGGGGGGCGGGGAGGGGATAACTGGCGGGAAGACCGGGAGGGAGGGCGCGTCTGGGGCGTGTGCGCCCAACTCCAGGGGCACCCGTGATCTGTGGGTCCCGCGTGCAAAGCCTGGGCCGAGCCCGGGGCGCAGGAGAGAGAGCGAGTCTGATTCAGGAAGTCGAGTCTCTGACATCAGGGCAGGACGGAGTCGGAGTGAAACCTCAAAAATGCGAGGCGTGGGCCAACCGGAGGGCAGGGAACACAGAGGGCGCCCTTCTCCCGACGAGCGGCAGGTACGTGCGGCGCGGGGCGGCCCCCGCTGACCGCTCCCCTCCGGACCTAGCTCCGCGTGGGGCGCGCAGGGTCTTCGGGAAGGAAACCTGGACCTTGCCCCTGGTCCCCGATCGCTGTCAGACGGGCAGCCCCGGTGGATCCCTGGCTTCCGCGCCTGCAGGAAGCCCGCCCGTGGACTGAAAGGTGAGTCTCAAGACTTGTGGTTCTTGTGGGTTTTTTTAGATACAGTTTAAGCTGCCCTCTGTTTGGAAGGGAACTTCCTACTCACTTCTTTCTTTAGAAAGATGAGACCAGCCCCAGAGAAAAGGAAGATTTAAGGATTATTTCTAAATAGACCCCTACCCCTTCACAGCTTCACTTTTAGTTTGTTTTCCTTCTTCGCGAGGATCCTCAGCAGCCTTGCATCTGCTTCTGGGCTGAGTCCGCATGGGTTCCTAGGGGTTTGGGGTGGAGTTCTCTGACTCGAGTTGACAACGGCTGCCGGTAGGAGCGATTTGAAAAGGACAGATGAAGGAAGGTTCTGCTTGCTACTGAAAAAGTTAAGGCCTGAGACTCTCCAACAAGTATCCTGGGTTTAGCTGTTTCTAAATTATTCTAGGTGGGTGAAGCCAGATTTTCAGTGGGGCTAAGAAACTGGCCAAAACGAAAATATGGCCTGGAGCCAGGGGTGGAATGGGGACCTGTCTGCTGTTCCCTGAGCCTCTAGGGGATTTGATGTAACACAGATTGCCTCCAAACATCTTTGACTCTCTGAATGGTCCCCCTCCCAGCTCCCCACCCCACCCGTGAAGGTAGAGTGGAGGACACAATTAGACTTGTTTCCCTAGTATTTTGAAGACCTTCACAAAATACATGGTGTAATGATAGAGTTAAATAAACTATAGACGTTAGCTGATGGGAACAAAAGTCCTGCCTAACCGAAAGGGAAACCGAAGCAGACAAGTACAGCCGTCATTTCACAGAGGACACTGGCAGCCAGCATGCCAGCTACCTTGCAGGACTGCTCCAGGATTCTGTCGAATGAGGAAGAGGAGGGAAAGGGTACTTGAGCATCTCAGAAGCACCTTCATTCCAAAGCTGTTGCAGTTCCTTCACTCAGCTAAAGTTCACAGTACCCTGAAGCTGATTTTAAGGAACCCTCATTTTGAAGTCCTGTTAGATAATGGGAGAGCCTTAAGTTATAAGGAGCGGAACTTAAAAGTAGCATTGATGGGACCGGCCCGGTGGCATAGCGGTTAAGTTCTCAGGCTCTGCTTCAGCAGCCTGGGGTTCGCAGGTTCGGATCCCAGGCGTGGACCTACACACCACTCGTCAAGCCATGCTGTGGCAGGCATCCCACATATAAAGTGGAGGAAGATGGGCACGGATGTTAGCTCAGGGCTAATCTTCCTCAGCAAAAAAAGGAGGAAAATTGGCAGCAGATGTTAGCTCAGGACCAATCTTCCTCACCAAAATTTAAAAAAAAAAGGAGCATTGATGTGTCTTGTTCCTAACCCTTTTACAAACGGTTTGCAAGTTCCACCTAAAGAGTACCATCAACCTCCTAGTCTGATATACTTTCCCTTTGCCCAGTGCTGGGCTAGGGAGGCAGCCGCACTGGAAAATCTGATCAGATCCTTCATTTCCTCTGAAATTCCAGCTCCCCATCCCCACGCCAGAGACAATTTTAGGAAAGAAATGCATTGCAAAACAAATGTTTCTCCAACCTCCATCTTTTGTCAATATTTAGCCTGTGGAATAGAGAAAGGATGACTTCTGCCCTTCTCCCTGAAAACTAAACCCAAGAGAATAATGAACGCTCAACAAGCTACATTACTGATTTCGTCAAAGAGGGCAGTGCATCTATCTGATCCATTCATTCAACAGTTACCATACCTACTGTGTGCCAGGGAGTGTGCCGGGATCCGGGAGTCAAAAGATAATGAGACAGTTTCTGCTTTTGAAGACCCAGAATCTGGTAAAGATTTTGAGACAGAAACAAACTATAGTTTAGAATGCAGTCATGCGCCACATAACAATGTTTCGGACATTGACGGACCCGTACAAGTGGGTCCCATGAGATCAGTACCATACGGCCTAGGTGTGGAGTAGGTTATACCATCTAGGTTTGTGTAAGGACACTCCGTGGTGTTAGCACAACAATAAAATCGCCTGACGACGCATTTCTCAGAACTAACCCCATAGTGAAGTGACACGTGACTGCCCTACACATCATAATAGCGCAAGCTATGGGGCACTGAAACAATCCAAAGGAGGGAGTGATAGAGTCCCCCAGGAATTACGGGGAAGTCAGCACTGCGGAAGTGATGGATGAACAGGGTGTTGAAAATGATTAGGAGTTCCTAAAGGGTATTTCAGGCAGAGGAAAGAGTATAGGCAAAATCAGTGGCAGGTTGCGGGAACTGTGGGTATTGGGGATTACGCTACTACTAAGGGTGGTGGGCTCTCTCCTGTGGCAGTGGGAAGTCGGTTCTGGGTTTTAAGCAGAGGAAGGGTATGGTCAGATTTATGTTTGGAGAGAGAACTAATGGCCAGATGGAGTTTTGGCAGATGGGAAGCAGAGATAAGGAGGACCTCGACTAAGATAAAGGCAGTGGAAACTGAGGAAAGAGAATGGAGTTCAATGGTGTTTAGGAAGTAGAATCAAAAGTACCTGATGACCAAGTGCATGTAGTGAGGGAGGAATGAGTGGAACAGAGGATGATTGTAAGGTGTTGAGCTGGGGATGGGGGATGCATTTTGATGCCTTTAATGGAAATCTCATGAACTATGAGAGGAGTGGGCTTGGGAAGCAGATTGTGGGAGAAGAAGGCAATGAGCACTTTAGACACGATTAGGTTGGATGTGCCCAGGAGATGTCCAAGCGGAGATGTATGGTAGTCAATGGGTGTTCAAGTCTGGAGCTCAGGGAGAGGTGGAGGCTGCTCCAATTTAACTATCCCAGATGTTGTACGTAAAAGCAGTGTTGAAGGCAGCTAAAGAGGCCTGTGATAACACCATCAGTGAGACTACACTGATGCTGAAGAGTCTTGGATTTGTCAGTATTGGCTGACAGATATTATTTTCATATTGTATGGTGACTTCCAGATGACTCTCTCTGGACTCCCAAGGCTTTCTCAGGATGCCTTGCAGGGTGATACCTAAAGTGTTGGAGAGAATCCTTAGTTAATGGAACAGAGTGCAGATGCATTTAACCAAACAAGCAAATCCCCAGGAACCTACCCCCCATGTGAGAAAGGAATACTTTAGTTCAATTGTAAGATCTGCCAAGGCCTCTCCAGAACTCATACTCCAAGTCTGGTTATTGCACCTGTGTGGGAGAGTCCTACCTTCATTAAAACAAGGATGACTTTCTCAGACTAATTCTAAACTCCTATAGAGTAGTTCTTTAGGTCTGGCTGCCAATGCCCAGATCAGGATCTTATGTGACCTGGAAGAAAAAACCCTTTGACTTGGAACCGGACAGACATGGGTTCAATCCTTGCCCTGACCACTTATCAGCTGCCTTTGAACAAGTCTTTGAATCTCTAATCTTCATTTCCCTTATATTTAAAGTGGGGATAATTATTACTCACCAGGGCAATGGTTAGAATCAGAATCAAATTGAAAAAGAAAGTGCATTTAATGTGCTACATAAATTGTAAGTTTCTATAAAAATGTAAGGGTTTCTATTATCATTATAATCTTGCCTCTTTTGCTACCAAATCAGATGGGCTTTGTAGGCGTAGGATCTGGACAGCATCTTAGGCCCAGACTTGCAGCTTTTTAACTGTATGAACTATTTTAAGGCAGTAATTATCAGTCTCCTTCCATCACATCAATGGCATGCGTCTGTTCTGGCCCCTTCTCTTTTCTCCTCACCTAACGTGGTCAGAGCCCAGTGTGGTGAATCCTCCACTAATGCTGATTCAGGCTGTGCACTCTACAGGGCTCCAGGGAGCTCGTGGGGCTGAAAGCAGCCAGTATCCCACTTGCTAGACCACAGACCCACCCCACTTACAGCCAAGTCCACCCAGAGGGGATGCTTTTTTCTAATCTTCACCGAGTGCTGGTTAAACCAGCAGTGGCCCTGAATCTGAGCATCAGCTGATGGCTTGGCTATTTCTGTGCTTTTCCTCTGTCCCAACAAGGGAAGCCTGATGTGTTCCAACCCAGTGCAGCTGGAATTTTACGCCAGCATCAAAACTTTCAAGTAAACAGACTTCTGATAGGGGCTGGCTGTTGATGAAGAAAAGGAAGTAACCAGAGACTCAAAGACTTCAAATGAAAAAACACTTTAGAGATGAGCCAGCACCACCCCCTCACTTCACAGACGAGCTAACTAAGGTTCAGGGAGGTGAAGTGTGTGCCCAGGTCAACAGCTGATTAACGGAGGGGCCAGAATCCAAGCTCTCTCTTTCTCCTTTCAGGAATAGTGGACACTCTTTTTTTTTTTTTTAAAGATTTTATTTATTTATTTTTTCCCTCCAAAGCCCCAGTAGATAGTTGTATGTCATAGCTGCACATCCCTCTAGCTGCTGCATGTGGGACGCGGCCCCAGCATGGCCGGAGAAGCGGTGCGTCGGTGTGCGCCCGGGATCCGAACCCCGGGCCGCCAGCAGCGGAGCGCACGCACTCAACCGCCAAGCCACGGGGCCGGCCCCAATAGTGGACACTCTTGGGGGCTTCTATCACCTGGCCCTTATCTACCTCACTCACAGGAACACACACAGGCACTCAAATGCCGGCAGAGAGGTCAAGTGAAAAGACTGCCTTGAAGGCTGAATCCTCCCCGAGTGGCCACCTGGGGAAACCACGAGCAGATCTTCAAGATATGCCGGCAGATCTTATCCTTCCAGACAGTCTCCATCCCACACCCATCCCTTCTGTTTCCTCAACTTCAATCCTTAAACTTTTCTTGAGAATTCCCAAAGACCCTTCAAGAAGGGAAACAGCTTTGGGTGCCTTAATGAACTAAAACCCTTTTAGTGTTTCGTGAAACTTATCATGAAGACTGTTTTGAAACCAGTGGATGGGCCAGCATCACACATAAAATATTGATACACAACTTACCATTCACTGAGAAAGGCTCCAAGCAAATCATAGGACCTCATGAGGCTCGTCACAGGCACAGTAAGAGATAAAACAGCAGCAGATAGACTTTTTCCCTCTCCAAGCAGCAGAAGGCAGATCTACAGCAAACTCTTTGAAGGGCCATCCCCAGGGCCGCATGACCAGCTCAGGTTTCTGACTTTTCTCCCATGTCTGCCTGAGCCATCTGAACGTGAGTGGGGATGTGAGTGGACCTTTAGCAGAGACTGGGCAAGGGTAGTTGACTTCCAAAATGAACTTCACACAAACCAAGATTCCTCTCTCAGGGCAACTCCCAAGGGGCCGTGGCAGTGTCCAAACTGGATCCCAGCCTCTGGGAAGAGACTTGCTCCCACGATGTGAGCAAGCTGCTCCATGGAGTTTGTTGCTAAGAAATGAGAGAAAACCTAATCATTGCTATATTTCTTGGTCCAAATTGAAGATTGTGTTTGTAAGCCATTGCAGACTTGTCGTTGCTCTTAACTGTCCGTAATTTCTTCCTGTTAGGATGTTTTTCAGTTGACTTTTATTCTCCTCAAATACAACCCTAACTTCAAGCCAGATAGACTTAAGGAAAGCCCATCAGCAATTTCTTTTAGTTTTCCAGGCAAGTCGTAAAAGAAAATTGGCAGATGAGAGGGAAAATATATAATAGCAATGAGGATAGTTACATGTTCTAGTGCTTTTAGTCTTCAGATTGTCCTGAGAAGGAAAAGTTGGGGGTCCACAGGTTTAGAGATGGCTGTAGGGTGGGGGTTGAGGGCAGAGAAAGCATCAGTGGAAACTAGAAAGTTCCATTAGCTTTAGCATTATGGGAACAGAATGGCACACAGTGGACGTGCTGTGTCTTAACCTAAATGACTTGTGACCGTGGCCACCTTAAAGAGAAGAGAATGCTGCAATGTGAGTCTGGCTTTTTCCACCCCAGCCCCAGTAAGATACTGAGTCTGTGTCCTTCTGCTCGTGGCTTCCAATCTTAGATTCTTATGCAGCTCCACCAATGGGACAAAGTGCCAGCTTTCAAAAGCCCCTCTGCTGTAAAAATCCCTGGCTGTAGCCTGGAGGCTCCAGATAGCCACTCATGCACACTGGCCTGAAATCACCCAGAAACTAACACTGGGCCAAAGTGACCTTCCCCACAGTTAGGGATCAGGAGTAAACAAATGTTCATCCAAGCTTTCTTGGCTCCCACGAAGTTTTAGTGTGCATGCTAGGCTCTCAATAGCCATTTGTGGAATAGTGGTGCTAAGAATTTGAGGCACATAAAAATGACAGCCATTGCTGCCTCCCTCCCACCAGGCTACTTTATGAGCACATCACAGTTGTTCATTCAACGTCATGCTAGGCAGAAGTGGCGAAGCTAAAAGAGAACACACTGCGCTGAAGGCCAGCCCCGCAGACTTACCCCATCTCTCCAGCCCCTTTCTTGTAAATGACTGATGGCTTCCACCCTCCCTTATCTCTCTCTACCTTCCACTCCCCACCTGAAACATTCCCTCCCACCCAAGGCCCACAATCTGCTAAGTAGCAATTGCCAGCGCAGCATGGCAGCGGCCTAGATTAAAATCTCCAGGCTCATTATGTGGGTGACCCACACCATCCCCTGATGAAACCTCCACTGGGAGAGAGGAGCACATTTGCACACGACACCACCCAGACATGACCTGCTCAGAGCTCTCTTGGTTTCCAAATTAGAAACTCAGATCCTGCCCTGCAGGATATTTGGCCCACAGCCTTCTCAGGTTCAGAAAAAGGCAGTGATGTGCCAGGTGCCTTAGGATACTTGCTGATTTCTAACTACTGTGCTCTTCATAGTTTTGCATGAGGATGTTATTGACCCCTCTGAGGAAAGAGCTGATTTTCACTGTGTTTTCAATGGATGGGATGGCACGGATTTCCACAGCTAGCCATGGAAAGACTATCTCATTTCCAGACAGAAGCACTGTATTTCCCCCACCCCGTCTGGGACAAGGGGACAGGACACAGTCACAGAGCATGTGCCACATGGGGAAGAAGGTCTGATGCTCCTGACTGACATTTTCCAGGAATAAGTTTTCAGTGGTTTAAAAAATATTATTCCTTCAATAAGGAATCCTTAAGTCACTGATGCATGTGGTCGTTCAACATTTGGTATTGGAGTGAATGAATAAATACCCACTAAAAAAAAACTGTGACATTTTATACTTCTTAAACAATTAATAATGGGAACTATACCATTCTTTTCCATTTACCATCTATTAGCTTTCAATAAATTTTACATTGTCTTCTCCCATATTTTTTTTTATGGAGGTGAAATTCACATTATGTAAAATTAACCCTTTTAAAGTGAAAAATTCAGTGGCATTTAGTATATTCACAATATTATGCAACCACCACCTCTATCTAGTTCCAAAACATTTTCATCACTCCAAAATAAACCCCCATACCCATTAAGCAGTTACTCCATATTGCTCCCTCTTCCCAGCCCCTAGCCACCACCAATCTGCATTCTGTCTCTATAGATTTATCTATTCTAGATATTTCACATAAATGCAATCATACAATATGTGACCTTTTGTGTCTGGCTTATTTCACTTAGCTTAATGTTTTCAAGGTTCATCCATAGTTTTGCATGTAATGATGCTTTGTGCTTTTTCATGGATGAATAATATTCCACTGTGCGTATATACCACAATTGGTTTATCTATTCATCTGTTGATAGACATTTGGGTTGTTTCCATCTTTTAGCTATTGTGAACATGCATGTACAAGGATATATTTGAGTTACCTATTTTCAATTGTTTTGGGTATATAACTAGGAGAGGAATTGCTAGATCATAAAGAAAGTCTATGTTTAACTTTTTGAGGAACCACCAAACTGTTGTCCCTTCCCCCACGTTTTTATCAGCATACTTATAAATTCACTCTCCTTCCTTGAGGCTAATATGCGTATTAAGTGGCATACTTTTCCATGCCTGGTCTCTTATTTGTGGTCTGTGATCTTATGCTTTAATGAGAGATATTAAATCCTGCCCCTTGTTGTCCTAGAGGTGAAGAGTTATTTGGATGCTTAAGAAATCTTAAAAAATGGGTAAACTGTAACTCCTTGGTGTAAGAGAGTAGGAAGCAGCAGATAACGCAGCAGCGTTTGTGGAGCGCTGTGTGTGTGTGTCGGGCATCGTGCTAAGCACTGCGCCTGCTGCCTCTCATTTAACCATCATGACAGCTCAGTGTCATCCCTGTTTTACAAAGGAGGAAACTGAGGTCTCGCCAAGAGCTCAGTCCTCTTCCCCTGGCTCCAGAGTGTTACCCCTAAGCCTCTCCTACAAAGAAACTCTGCAACTGCCACCAGTGATGAATAAGAAGCCGTACTATTTCTCAGGAGCTTACAGTCTGTTTTGGCAGACAGAAAGATAAAGAGGCAGTTATAATATAGTGTAATAAATGCTATAAGAGACGTCACAACCTTTCCCATGGGACTCAGAGGAAGGGTACTTAGTCCAGCTCTGGGTGATAGACTTCCCAGAGGAGATGAAATCTAAGCGTGTTATTTGATATGTAAAGCTTTGTAACCCATGGTAAGACTGGACTCTCCCCCAGTCGCCCTTTGGCACCACCACTTCATCCTTGCGTTCCCAGTGTCCAGTATCGGGCAAGTAGCAGCTTCTCACTGAACACAGGTTAATAAACACGCACGCTTTTGCAGGTGGAACTTCCAGCCCCTGTCACGCTGTTACGTGACTCCAATACCTGGACCTATATTTCAGCTCATGGGCTTTCTCAAAACAGATGTGGCCCAGGGATCAGGGGAAGGAGAAGAGAAAACGCCTAGAATGTCTTTTGTTCCTTTATGTCTGAACAGGCCTCATGCACATAAGAGAAGAGAAGAGGGGATGAAGGGTGAGGAGAGGGGCAGGAGGTCGTTCAAAGGGATTGTGAAGAGATCTTCCACGCCCAAGTGAGGAGACTGTAGAGGGGCCTGGGACCCTAAAGAAGAAATGAAATGAACTGGCAAACCCCTTTCCAAAACCGTAATTTCTGCAGTTCATCTCAAGGTTGTATCATTGCTTCAAAGACTCCTAGCTTACGGCTATACCGTATCTGAGGCAATTCACCTCAGCCGGCAGGTTCGAGAAGTGGTAGCTTCACGGGAGGGTCTAGACTCTCTGGGGTTGGTAATTCTGGCTCCTCTTTCCCGGGGATTTTCAGTGAGATCTGGGTGCCATCAATCCCCTTCAGTCTTCACCTTCAGCTCCTCTCTGCAAAAGGAGAATCGTAGAAACTCTTCGGAGGCCTGGCGGCCTTGCTTTAGAAGGGAGAGCTGCCCCGATGTGGCTCTGGTTGCACTTTTCCCATATGCATTTTTTAAACGTAGTGTCTGACCCTATGCTAGAGGCTGTGGGGAATTTAAGAAACAAACAATGGTCACAGATTCCACCTTCAGGGGCCTACTGCCTATGCCCAGGAGCCTGCGAGCTCTTCACTGCAAGTCCTGCCAACTGGTTCAGAGGTGTGAGAAACAGCCTCTTCCCTGGGGTTAGAGTCTGTCCTGGGATCTCTGCTCCTAGTGCCACCATCTCTTCCCTCAACACCCAGGCTCTGGCTGGCACCACTATCCACATCCCTGACATCTGCTTCATCCTGGTCAGCTGGCTCTCCAGGCTCTGACCAACTTGCCTGAGCCATAAGTGGCTGCTTTTGGCTCCATCCCCAACTTTAAAAGCTCAACCATTGCAAGGCCTTCTTGTTCTGCACAGTCCCCAGTGCTGGTCCCCTCGACCTGCGGTAGCCCTACCCTGGTCTACCACCCGGTGACCTGGCCCTGCAGAGGCTCTGCAAAGCTTGTATAGATGTGAAGGCTCGGGCTGCCAGTGATGAATGTAGACACCCCAGCCCTGAGGAGGTAGCATATAGACATATAGCCCTCACACAGACACTCTTAATTCTGGTTCTTTTCCATCCCTCAAGACCATAACCAGTCAGTCAGTTCGCTAACCAATTGACGGGCATTTATTGAGCATCTACTGTGTGCCAACCCAGAACTAGGCACAGGGGATAACTACAGGAAAGAGCTCTTACACAGTTTACAGTCAGTGGGGAAGCAGACGTGAACAGCATCTGCACCATAACTTTTCATGCGTCGTCAGGTGAGGTGAGGTAGGAGAGAGGGACAGAAATTTTCAACTATGATGATCTCTGTGTAACTCCTGTGTAACTCCCCCACGCCACTAAATCCTCCTTTCCCTCACCCCCATCTGATGGGGCTTGCACACTGGTCAATCTTTGCTACGTTTAACAGGCCAGAGCATCCCTGGCTGGCTCTGCCTGAAATGACAAAAGGCGTCTTTACGTGCTACACACAGGAGTCATCACTGTGGTTCCTTTTGCATCCTTGAGCTCCTTACCATTGGATCACGAGCTCAGATGCCTAGGGGGCCCTGACAGAGAAAGCTAACATCTCCTGAACACTAACCCTGTGCCAGGCACTGTTTAAAACGCATTATACAGATTATTTAACTCATCTGATTTCCACAACAATCCAACGACGTGGAGTCTGTTCTTATCCTTCTTTTATGGTTGAGGAAACTGAGGCACAGAGAGGTAAAGGGACTTTCCAAGGTCAGACAGCTAGTGGATGGGGGTGGCGGGCGGCCTTTGACCCAGGCTGGTCCACCTACAGAAGTGACACAGGCAGTGTGGGAATATAGGAGGATGTGCTGGGAAACTGGAAAGCTGTGGCTCAAACAAGATCTGGGCATTGGTCACATCTACCTCGTGGGCTTCCAGTTTGCACCCTGTGATCTAGGTTTGTCCCTCTTGGACAGAAATCTCATTTGCTTTCCACCAACCTTGTGCCAAATGTTAACAGTATTGCTACATGGGTGCGTGAGCACGTGCGTGTGTGTGTGTGTGTGTGTGCATGTGCGTGTGTGTGTGAGAGAGAGAGAGAGAGATCCCTCTGAACTTGTGCCAGCTAGAACCGACTTTGGTGACCCCAGATTTGAAATCAGGATTATGACCAAATTTAAGAAAATACAAAAGGATAAAGTATGTTTGGAGTGAGGGGAGAAGGAGGCAGAAAATTCCCTATGCACTCAAGTTTTCTTACACAATAATCTCCCTTCATGGTCAAACGTGAAAAACGTCCCCTGAAGGTCCTTGGGCCCAGCACGTCATCAGCCACCCCCCAGCCCTATCCCTGGACATTCAAGTCATAATAGGTGAGAAAGTGAGGAGGGAGAGAGAGCTTCCCAGGAGCAGCCCTCCTCCTCAGGCCACAACCTTGCGGAGCCCTCCCCATGGGCCAGGCCCCTGGAATGCCCTGGATTAGAGCAGCTGGCTAGGAAAGCACGGAGGGAGGGCTGGGCTGGAGTAAGCTGTTTGAGTGTTGCCGTGGTAACAATGGGAAGTTGGAAGGCTCCAGATCTGGGCCGGTGCCTGGGCCACCTTGATTGGATTCTTTCTCTGAGCCAGCTGTGCTTTCCTGAGCAGCCTGGAATGCCTTCGCTCCCATCCTCCCTGCATTTAATCATCCCGTTCTCCCTGCAGGTGCCAACTCAAATCATGCCCTCCTTGAAGCCTTGCCTAGATTCCTCATGGAATTAACAGCTTCCTCCTTGCTGCTCCCATAACCATTTGTTTGCATTTCCCTTGAGACCCTTATCTATTCATGCTTTATAGTTCTTCTCCTGTGCATCCATTTCCCCAACAAAAAATAAATTCCTTGACTTCACAGTCTGTATTTTTAGTTCAATTTGGAATCCCTTACCCAAGTAGGTGGCAGGTTTCTACTACTTGTTAGGCAGCATAATCTGGACAGCCTTAAAAAAGAGAAAAGTTCCTTGTGCACAGAGTAGGTATTCAACAAATGTGCACTGAATTGAATTGTCTGCCACTATTCTGCAGAGAGCAGAGATGGCAGTTCTTGGCCTCCTCGGCCTCAATTGTATCAACAACTCAGGCTCAGGCGAGGAAGAAAAAAGCCAACAAAGAGAGTTCCTTCCTCTGGGGTAAAACAGGCAGAGCCTTTTGCAATAATAACAGTGAAGTAGTGAGTCGCTGCGTGCTACACACGCATTCTCCACTCAATTGGCTTGGCAACCAGAAATTACCAAAGGAAATGATATCAATTCATGAACACCAAAATGTGTCAGGGACACAGCCAGCCAGGGCTTTCCAACAACATGACAGTCTCACTTTCAAGTGATGTAATTGTGATATTCAACAGGGCACCCCGTGAGCCTAAGTCTGATCTCCTTTTGCGGCCAGCGATCTTTGTAGTCGGGTCTTACTGCTGTCATCTCTGTTCTTGCCGCTGTCAGCCTCACTGGACATTCAAAAGCAGCCAGTCACCAAAAGGCACCTGCCGAGCGTGCCTGTACTCTGGAATGCCCAAGAGTACCTGCCGTCCGGGCACACTGAGCCCAGGCTGAAAGTGTTCACCAAATCCAGAAAGTTGAAGTTTCAATTGGTGGATTTTTTTTCCCTGAATATCTTCTTCTATCTGACCGCAATGCTGCGTGTGAACCCAGAAACCAGGGTGGCAGAGTGGAACGAGCACTGCACATTTATAGGAGGAAGAATTGCAACATCGTCCTTGATTAGCTATGAGACCTTGGGTATTTAATTTCAATGAGTCTCAGTTTCCTCATCTATAAAAATGTTCATTCATTAAGTCAGCAAGTATTTTCCAAAGGCAAAAGATGTCCCAGATGTTGAGGATGTTGTGACGGGAATAGATTCCCTCTAGAAAGGAAGAAAGATGATTAAATAAACGATTAGCCTAAAGCAGGGTCTGGACTGTGGTGATGGTGTAGGGACAGCGGGAGCACAGGGCAGGAGCTCTCACCTTAATGAGGTCACAGGAGTTTCCCAAGGGGAACGATGTTTCAGCTGAGACTTAAGCAAATAGAAGCCAGGAGATTCGGCTGTAGTGGTTGGGGTGGAGTTGGGGGATAGTTGGGGGTTCCAGATAAAGAAGCTTGTGTGAGGCCCCAAAGCAAGAGAGGGACCCCAAATCTCACGTAGTCTGAGAAACAGAAGGCTTTGTAAACTGAAAAGTGACCAGATGCCTTTATTCACTCCTCTCTTGTTGCTTTTTAGGAATTAGTGTATTGAGGAGAGCATCTCGCTGGGAAACCGGAAAACTAGAACCCAGTGTGCCCTGGGCCACTAACCAGCCTTGCAACTTTAAACAAATTTTGAACAGATTTCTGCTCTGTCATTTATTCATCTGTGAAATAGGGCAAGAACTCCCTCCCCTCCTCACATTACTGTGGATTGAATGAAGAAACGTTTGCAGAACCTTTAAAAAAGTAAGAGGAGTTGTAAGTGCAGGGTCTTTGACAGGTCTTTCCCTCTCATAAACAAGCGCCAGGCCAGTCGTGCAGCAGCTGGAAGACTGCAGCAGTGATTGAGTCAGAGTCTTTATCTCCCTCCCGCCCCCATTCCCCAGGGATCTGGAGATAAAGAGCAGTTTCCTTCTGATTGGTTTGGTGATATTTTGTTTCAGTTCATAATCAGATTTTGTCTAAGGGAGAAAGCATGCTATTAATAAAAGGGTTTGGTTATTTTTTTTTATTGTAATAATTGTGATTACTGAGCCCAGGGGTGGGGCTTAATCCTGCATAATCCTGAGCTCTGGCCAAGGCACACTTTGAATCATGAGAGAATCAGGTAAGAGAATGTGGCCTTGGAAACATTGATGCTGCTCTATCTCCTCTGCTCACCAACTTTCGGGGCCTCCCGGGGGTCCCTTACACCAACCTGTGTTAGGCCCTCCAACCCCTCTGTAAGGTCACCAACTTTGCCTCTACCACCTCATTCCTCACTCTTGCCCAGAAGGTTTCTTCACTGCCATCGCAGTCCCAAACTCTCTGTGTGCTGCTCTCTGTTCCTTTGCTCTTGCTTTCCCATCCTATCTAGCTCACCCCAACTTCTCTTCTTCGACCCGCCTCGAATGCCCAACCCTCCAGGTTATAACATGCAACACAGGACCAGCACAACCTCCATCTCCTCCACGCAGTCTCCGCCTTAAAACCGAATCCAAGGTTGATCCCTCTCCTTTCTACTGGTCAAGCATTTTCACACTTTCTGATATTTACTTTAGCCTTTAATTGCTATTATAGCTTTTGAAAATTAAATTTTGCAGAGCATTTTCAGTTTGTAAAGAACTCTCATGTATATTATTATTTGACTTTCACAAGAACACTGGGTGGTGACGAAGTCAGTGTGATTATCATCTTCCCGTCTTACAGATGAGGAACCTGAGGCTTGGGGACTCAGGGACTTGCCCTCTCACCTGGCCGGACTCATGGTGTCTAAGTTTCATTCAGAAACCCTCTTAGGAAAGGAACCAGTTCATCCACGTCTTCTTTCCCCTTAGCACTATATTGATCGCATAGTAGGTACTTAACTAATACTTCTCGAAATGAAATCCGTATGTAACTACAGGAAAAATAACTCAAACGGCATATTTTATTGATGCAAATAATTGCTATTAGTACAATTAGCCTCTTCATGTATAAAGAACAATGTGTTTGCAGCGTTATTTTTATTATAGTGACCCGGGAAACAACCTAAGGGAGACCCACACACATTCTATACAAACCTCCCGACCCCCACCTGGGGTCAATCAGAGGGCAGCCGCAAATGCCCTCTGCTCACAGCACTGCTCCACCACCTCCTGGCAAAGGATGGAATGTGCTTGTCAGAACTTGCTCAGCAGGGTGGACGTGCTCGGCTAGCCCTTGGAAACCTGGGGTCACTTGGGCATGTGGAGGATCCAGATTGCCCAGCACCACTACACAGCCAGGTGAAAGAGCCACCAGGTAGGGGTGGGGGTGGGAGGGGGTTTCCATCCATCCGTTCTGGGTTGGAGGCAAGAAGACTTCCCGGCATGGGAGCAAATTTCCCAAGAATTCAGCCCTCTTTGACTACCTGGCAGAATTGAGGAGTGATGTTTTTTACCATGTCCCTACATCTGCCCGGAATAACACCAATTATGATACTAAATACTCGTACAGTTCCTAACAGCCTCGGAGCACATTCACACGCATTGTCTGCTTTGACACAAGGACCCTGTGAGGCAGGCATTCACTTCCAGTTGTTTGTTTACTTTAACAAGTGTGTGCATATGATCAAACCTTCAGAATTGTACCGCAGGACTGAGAGCAGCCAGTCTCCCAGCCCAGCCCCCAGTGTCCTTCCGTAGAGGCAACACATGCTATCACTTTCCTGTGTATTCTTCCAGATTTTCCCCCATTTTGGAGATGAAGAAACTGAGGACCAGAGCAACCGAATGACCTTCCCAAGTATACGCTGAGGAAGTCACAGGTGAGAATTTGAACCCGCTTCTCATACCAGAGTCTCTGAGCTTCCCCTACACTACTGGTTCCCAGGCTATCTTTTAGCCAAGAATTCAGCTCATATGAAAACCTACAAGAGCATAAACAAATAAAACCAAACAAAAGCCAAAGCCAGAGCTGGCTTTCCACTGAGGAGCAGAACTGCCTACCCCTATTAGAGCATTACAAGGACATCCACCTCTTCTCTGGCTGCTCCAAGCCAACCCCCATCTCTAGGACCCTCCCCTGCCTTCTAACCAGCAGAGGCAGGGCCACACATTCAGACCGTTTGGCTCTATCAAACTTTTCCTACCCAACGTCCTATGTCTTCAAGACCCTGATACTTTGAGGGTCGGTCTGATAAAAAAACGTATTCTGGGCTGCTAATGGGAGATAAAGCCTAAAGGCTGGTACGGAGCCTGCAGGCAGTCTAGTCTCCATGTGGAGAGCTGGGAGACCGGGTCTGAGTTCTCTGGCTTCTCCCTCCATCCCTCCACCTCCCAGTGGCCCCAGGTACTTTCCAGAGAGTCTTCCATAAAGCTTTGACGTCTCCAGGCCAGGATGGAGCAGAGGTGGTAGATGAAGAGGAGTGAGGGGGTGGGGCCAAGGGAAGGGTGTGTGTGTGTGTGTGTGTGTGTGTGCACTGTACACGTTAGTATCTACGGGGCACCCCAGCCCCCCGCAATCCCCAGCTTAAGCAGCTTCTTGCATCCTTACTCCCAGATTGCATATGTGCAGTAATACCTGCAGCCTCCTTGGGGAGGGGCATTCCAGAGGTGGAGAGGGAGATGATTGGGGGTGAGGGCTGGCAAACTGAGGGTCTCAGGGATGGGTGAAGCCAGTGGCAGTTCTAGGATTTCTCTATAACAGGAGCTTAGGGGTAACAATCTATTTGCACCGAGGCACCTAAAGTTGCATTTGACCAGACTGAGCCAATGTCGTCTGTATCGAAGAAAGAGGGTGCTGAGGCAAAAAAAAAGTGGGTGCTGCTTGCCTGAGTGGGTGCTCAATAAGTATTTTAGTGCACTCATATATGTCCTCTGCATTCACTGCATTCATAAGTGTAAAAAAAAAATATCTGGGGGCTGGCCCAGTGGCATAGTGGTGAAGTTCACATGCTCCCCTTTGGTGGCCCGGGGTTCACAGGTTTGGATCCTGGGTGCAGACCTACACACCACTCATTAGGCCATGCCATGGCAGGTGTCCCACATGTAAAATAGAAGAGGATGGGCACGGATGTTAGCTCAGGGCCAATCTTCCGCAGCAAAAAGATGTTAGCTCAGGGCTGATCTTCCTCACCAAAAAAAAAAATCTGCACACAATATTAAGGATGTGGCTTTAAACCTGCACAGCCGGGAAGTGGAGGTTCATTCTCCAGCAGCATCAACCCTTCTGCACAACCTGCCCTCCGGGACTGAGCTTGCAGCCCAAAGCCTGGTGAATCTGCAATATTCTCCCCTGTACATTCAGCAGGGGGAGCTGGGAGTGGAATGAGAATGTGTCTGCTCCCTCTCTCTATGATTTGGCCTTTACATTTTAAGCCTTAATATTACAATAAGGTAGCTTTTGGCTTTTAATTGCCTTGAACTTTTGTTAACATTAAATGAAGGGAAGAAATGGAAAGGAAAATAAACCATATCTGTATTGCTTTTGAGTTTCATAATTGTATATTCTCGCCACTCCATTAGTTTTCAACTATTCCAGCCTATAAACGTCTCCCCGCCACCACCACTGAGAAAAATAAATAAGTCAGTCATTCGGTTATTGCTGCAAAGTTTTCAGAACTCTAAGTTCTCTTCTCTAATATTAAAGAGAATTACGCAACTTTAAATTTAAGATCTGTTTTTTAATTGCCACTTGCATGGGAGACCCTGAATCACACAAGTGCCTGGTTGTCTCCTTGCTTTTTCAAAAAACACTCTTTCCCTCCAAGAGGATATGACGTTTGAAGATTTAAACATCGGTTGTTGGAGTAGGCCACAGAGCCTTCCCTTTATGTGTGGAACAGAGAAGCACTGACCTCTGCAGCCACTCCTAACTCCAGGATGACCTCAGAGCCTCGCTCACACTTTCCAAAAATAAAACTTTCCCGAGGTTCCTTACCACACCCACAAAAATCGGCTCCAAGGTCTTTTACCAAATAGTTTTGAAGAGTGAAAATGAGAGCTGAATAACCCAGGTATTTCACTGTAACCATGGCTACAGGTTTTATTAGCACTAAGACCAGGATGTGGTCAGATGGGATATATACAGACGGCAAACACAAGCGTGAGCAGTGTCGGAGGGTGTGCCCATAAATTCTCCAAATTGGAAATGTAGCTCCTAATGACTGATTCATAAAAGACCAGTGAGGGAAGTGAGGGGAGGGGTGAGGAGGGTGCAGGGCTGCATCAGTAAGAGAAGCTCAGGGTTCTAATTTTAGCTTTAATTCAGCTTTTTAATATAATCCTTTAACATGCCACTACCTTCACTTAGATTGCAATTTTTCCTTCTCAGTATTCTTTCACGTGTCTTGTCTGTTCTTCGCAACAATCTGAAGAGATATCTGGGACAGCTAATAGCCTCATTTCTCAGATGAGGAAAGGGCTCAGGAAGCTTAACTGATTGGCCCAAGGTCAGGGGCTTGGAGGACTACTGAACCAGAGCTCGAACTGGGTCCTCTGACTCGCAGCTTAATATTCCTCCCACTGCACCCCTCTGCCAGCCTCTTGTATTGCGCCCAGGAACATTCTGATATGTATTAATTCCTCCTGCAAACATCCTTCATCCTTATCCTTTGTCTGATTAGCCAAAGACCAGGGTCAGTCCATCAAACTGGAGGTTACAGCTGGAAAGTAAGGCTTGTCATTTGCCTTTTGTCCTCATTTCCCTTTTTTAAGCCCCCTGTGTGGCTCCCCCAATGTAGATAACAGCACAAGGAAGAGGTAAGGTAGTCCCTACTGCGGCGGGGGCCTACAGTCCAGGGGCTGCAAGCTTCACATGCCTCCAGGGAGCAGGTAGGTGACTGGACAGGGACCAGGCGTGTGAAGCCAGCAGGCTGGGACTAGGGTGTGGGGTGGGGAGAGCGTAGGCCCTTCTAAAGCTCCAGCAGATTGTGGCTATGTGGGAGGTTAGTGGGGCCAAATTTTAGGACTAGCTAAATGTTGAGAATTTTGTATGAAATCAGAGGTGGCAAAAAAATAAAATAAAAGTGCCTGTGGGTTGGCTATAGCTCCTGGACTGCCAGTGAGCACTCACAGGAGTTTTATGCCCTTGGGTCCCCAGCACCCACTGTCATATGTGCTATTGCTCTGCACTTCTTACATTTTTGGTCCTATTAAAATGGGAGCTCCTTGAGGTCACAGAAGACATCTTAATTAATCAGGAGTGTATCCATAGGGTGTGCACACACGGCAGGCTTTCCAGTGTTTGATGGATGACTAATTGAATGAACACTCCATCATCCTAGAAGAGAAGGTCCAGAGACTGAAGTCCTCAGCCTCCTGAGAATGGCGGCTGTCTAGCATTGTGGTTACAGCAGGATCTTCGGACTCAGGACTAAAGTCAAACCTCTTCTGCACTTTAGTAGCTCCATGGCCTAGGGCAAATTACGTAATCTCTGATAGCCTCAGTTTCATCATCTGTATAATGGGGATAAAAGCCCCACCTCCTGAGTTGGTGAAAGAGGCCATGTCTATAAAGCCTTGATTACATACACAGAGTTGTGCACTTCCTAATTGTGCAACAAATGGTGGCTTTTGACTCAACAGATGAGTCCCTGTTCCTGTGAGAAGTGATAAGATGTTTTGCCAACCCTCTGTCATGAGGCTTTGGCCTCCTGAGGTAGCTGTGTGAGAAGAGGCCAGTCAGAGGAAAACAGCGAGCACTGCGGCTGAAATGAGGAGAAAGCTGATAGTGAGGGACAAAACAAGGCACTCCCAGGAACTAGATCCTCAGGCCTGGGCACGGGGGGAAGACAGCCACAGCTGGGAATGGATGGAGATCAAGTTAAGAAGGGAAGCAGGGGAAAGGCAAATGTCTCTGCCCTGATGCCCTAGCAGTTGGCTAATTCACTCTTTGGGCCAGTTCAGTGAAAAATTGATCAAACTCTGGTTAGAACAAAATAATTCTTTAAAAAATGGATGTTTCCACCTTTCACACAGTATGAATAGTATAATAACAAATATAGTGCTATATGGTTTTCGAGGCAATTTTAAGGCACCCACTGTGTGACATGTACTTAGGCTACATGCTTTACACACATTATCTCATTTATTCCTCCCAGCAGTGCATTCATTCACTCACTCATTCATTCATCCATTCAACAAATGCTTATTGCCAGCCCACTTTCTCCCAGGCACCGTGCTAGGTATTGAGGATACAATGATGTAGCACGGTGGACACAGCATCTAGCCCTCTGAGAAATGTGCTGATATCTCTGTTTACAGAAGAGAAAACTGAACTCAAAGAGCTTAAGTGAATGTTGCCCAGACTCCACACCCATGTTAGTGGAGGAGGCAAAATTCTTGACTGTATGTTTTCTGGTTTAGGAGAAGAAAAATCAGGAAACTTCCTTGATGATCTAGGGATATAAATATGAGGAAGTTGTTGACTTGCTAACAGGATAGAGAGATTGTATTCAATCCCATTTAGCACAGTTGGAATTTTCAGAGTATCAGAGAGACACAATTTCTAGTGACTAATCCTAGGGGTGACTGAAAAAAACTAATTATTCACAGAGTCTATGGCATGGACCCTTTGGGGTAATTAGGGATGAGAGAAAAGGAAGGAAAGAGGGAAGGAGAAAGAATAAAGGAGAATAAAGTAGCTAGAGATTCTAGGCCTTCCATAACAGCAAGTCAGAGAAAGCCCAAATGAAAACCTTTTAAACTCTTTCATTGTTCTTAAACTATTCTCTGATTATTTCCCTGGTATCATCTTTGAGTAGAGAGAGGGTATCTTTTACCTCCCCTGTATTTCCTAGCATAGCTTAATTAATACTTGATTGAT